TTATTAATTAAATTATTTTTGTTTATAAAACGATTAAATGTATAAAATCTTTTCTGCAATAAAATATCAATAACTAAATATTTCTATTTAATTGCCCATTTATTATCATAATAATACATTACACATAAACAAAATAGTGCAAAACATAAATAATTTTCAAGATATATAGTGATGACTCTACTGAATATATATTTTACATTTTCTACATATGAACATATATTGCTTACTTAAATAATATCAATTATTAAAATTTACATTGTATACAATAGCCTTTAGTGCAAAGTATAAAAGCAAATATAAATGCGTTGGCATTTTTATACTATCAAGGATTCTGAGAATTTCTACTTTGCTCCACATTATACTTTATACTTTTGTACATGGGGCGATTGTATTCAATGGCAGGATATGCAGTTCTTACTTGTGGTTCCCGTCTTCCTACAGTATCTTTCCATATCATTGCCAATAATATATAAAATCCACCAACAATTTTGTTAAATACATCAATAAGTTTTAAAATGATGGGTGTTAGCACTCTTGTTAAGCGACTTAATTCAAACATAAACCGTAAAACAAAAGCACCTACAAATTTTATAGCAGCAAAGAAGGCGGTAACCAAGGATAAAGTAATCAAACCAATAAATTTTAATGTAGATACGATATTTTCTTTGGATATATCATTGGACATAAATTCATATGTTGTATGCTTAATGCTCCGTCCCCATTCAAAAATAACATTTATAAAATCTTGTAATCCTACTTCATTAGCAATTGTTTCTTCTTCTTTTTCAGTTTTTATATTGGAATCATTTTCGTTCACGTGCGGTAAAGCTGCACCTGTAGTTCGTGCTACAGTCGGGCTTACACGTCGTCTAAGTGGAGTACTTGTGAGCTCTGTCTCTACAGCTCGTGCCACTTTTAATTTTAATATGATTTCATTATCTCTAAATCGTACACTTTTAACCATAAACCAGTATTGACCAAAAGCTACATTTTCTAATTCTACCCAAATATATGTATCCATAGCGCCAGCTATTAATTTTGTTTTTGAAATATCGCCATGTGTTATACCAATCCATACGTTTGGTATATTTTGATAGAACAATAATATTTGCTGTCTGATTTCCATAAGTATTTTTTGAAATTCATGCTCGCTACCTTCAAGTGCAATTATATCCCGGTATGCACCAACAACGTCAACGTAACGGCGTTCTTCGTAAAAACCGCGAAATATTTTTTCTTTAAGAATTTGTTTACACGAAGACTGTAACGCATCCCTCTGAGGAATTAAATTTGGGATAGAAGTGGGACAATATGTTGGTACAGTTTTAGGTGTATTCAACATTTTGGCTGAAAGAAAAAAACATCATTAATCATTAAAAAAACAGCAATTATGTTTGTCACTCACATTTTGCAAAAGGAATTTATATTTACTAAATGTTGAAACTATGCTCTTTCTATTGAAGAAATAGTTAAACAAAGCTTAGTCATGTATGGTCTTAAATGGTTAGTTGTTGTTGCACTTTGACTCCAAAAATAATCTGTGATCTATCGGAATAAAGAAAACGTAAGTTTTTTATTTGTTTTATTTATAGCATAAAGTTCTTACTTTTTGCATAATAACAAGCCAGCAGCCAGCGTTATTTCATATTTTTTCTGAAAAGTTTACTTATAATTTTTTATCTATCTTAAAAAATATGTAATTTAACTAACAAACTGTTTTTTATTTATATTCTGCAATCAAATCCAAAAAAAAAACATTTAAGAAATTTAATATGAACTGTATAGCGTCAGCTGTGGCAGTGATGCCATATGCTTTGAAATAAAATATTTATTAAATCTTTAAACATTTTCCAACTAATATTTGAGTTTATTTTAGGACTTATAAAAGTCGTCAGGACAAATATGATGATTGATCGTTGAGAAAAAATAAAGATTTCTCAACTTTTTCTTTTTTTCTAGCAAACAAATTTTTCTAGATTAGAAGATTAAAAAGTATTAAATAAAGAATAAGTTTCTCAAAATTGTTTACATGGAACTCGTATTATACATTAGATGTCTTCCACAAGCTACTCGTATTAACTTTGAGTAACACTGTGTACACACAAGTATGTTCTACCAGCAAATTTTCGAGTATATGAGAGCATCTGAGAGAGCGTAACATCTCTGTCGAAATTTAAAAATGTTACACAGACTTTACTAGTATATTTTATTTCAAGCAAAATTTGTCTATGTGCATCAGCTGTTTCGGTTTAAATTTAAATTTTGTGTAGTATATTTGCGCGGCACTGGTGTTCTCACCAGATTTTAGACAAAGCTGCTCCATAAAAATCTGTGTAAAGAGCTTAATTTGGCACTTTATTTGTGTTACGCTCTCAGTTTATACTTTACTTGTGTTTGACTTGAGTTTTACTATGAGTAGCTCATGGAACAGACCTAATTTATTTATATCGCGTTTAAACAACACATTTTTAAACTTTTATACTTACTCCATCAATTTTCGTTAAGTTTTAACTACAATAGCCATAATTTTTTCTTTCAAAGTTGGAAAAATACAGTATTAAGTTAACATATGTTTTTTGTTGTGTTGTGTGTAGAATATGATATATAAAAATTCTGAACACTAAAAATTGATTAATTTAAATAAAAGAAAACAAAATGAATATTAGAGGACATCGCAAGCATTTTTATGTTATGAAAAATGAAATGCTCATATGATTTTAGCGGATGACTGGAATTATGCAACATATTCCCCTTGAACCCTAACAATAGACAGATTTTTAAATTTGGCTGCAGTGCAACTTAAGACATAAAATTTTTTCTGAGTTAGAACTAACTCTGAAGATTTTAAGAGTATTGTTATTGCTTCACATTGTTTCTTTTGTGATTTGCAAGTATTTTTTTGCTACACTGAAAGATAAAATTACGGCTAATATTACACTGTTGCAATCTGTCAAGTGTTATGTTTTGGCAAACAAAAAATCTTGCAAATTTGCACATAATGCAAGCAAATTACATTTTGCATAAAAATAAATAATTAATATAAAATTAAAAATTAATATGAAAACAGAATTAAAAGGAGTGATAAGAATGTGTGTTTTCCAATTTTCAAATTTATGAAATTTTTGAATTTTGTTGGAATTTTTGTTTACATATGATTTTTGACATATGATTGCAATATTCGTTGGAATTTCCAATGAAGATTCACAATAGTTCGCTTATTGCGTTAGTAACACTTTTGTTTAGTGTTTGGCCAGTACTACTGACCTAGATAGCGAAAATAGGCCTTTTCGGTGGCTCGCAAGTACGGCAAAAAATGCATGTTGGCCTATGTTGGCCACGCGAATCATTGGCATCACTGTTGCAATCTGTCAAATGTTTTGTTTTGACAAACAGCAAATCTTGTATATGTGCATATAAATCAAATACATTTTTATAAAAATATTATAAAATTAAAATGAACACGGAATTAAAAGGAATGGTAAGAATATTGGAAATTTAAAAATAAAACACTAAGATAAGTAAATTTTTGTAGGTACTGTCGATGTTGGGAGAAGGAAGCAACGTTTTGCAGTGGCCGAGGGATACAAGCTGTTTCACGGATTTTTTAAATGTTATGAATGCCGCAACAACCTCCTCTGAAGATTCTCTTCCTTTCGTGTCAAGTAGCACTCTAGAAAACACTTCGTTTCCTTTGTGATCCATAGTTTGGGTGTATTTCTATAAAAAATTTTTTAGAAAAACTTCAAAAATTATGTTTGTTTATTAATTTTACGTATGTAAACTACAAATTAAATGAAATAATATAAATGTTACCTGGTAATAACTTACATAATAAAAAATTCAATGTGCTTAATATTTACGATTTCTCCATTCTTATTATTTCTTCGTTACTTTTCAAGATTTTTCAAATTTTTGAATTCTGTTTGAATTTTTATTTCCTCAATTTTTGACATTTGATTGCACTATTCGTTGGAATTTTCAATGAATGTTCACAATAGTTCGCTTATTGCGTTGGTAACATTTTTTTTTTTACTGGCCGATGTGGTTGGCCAGCATAACTATGGTGGCCGAGGTAGAGAAAATAGTGTTGTTGTTTTGCATACATTGCGGCCAGTATAGGCCTGCATAGGCCAACAACTTGCTGTTTTTTGCCGTACTTGCGAGCCACCGAATACGCCTAATAGTGCTGTTAACTTGCGAGCCACCGAATACGTCTATATTTTATTTATATAAAAAATGTAGTTTGCTTGATATATATGCATATATGCAAAATTTGTTGTATACAAAAGCAAAACATTTGACAGATTGCATCAAGGATGTCAATATCTCGCTTGGGTAATATATAGGCTAGCTTACGTTTTTTGCAACACTTGCGAGCCACCGAAAACGCCTATTGTAGAACATTTATTTTACATAATGTTAGGTGTCAATTTGTAGCAAAAAAAAGCGGAAAATCAGGTTTAAATTAAGTGATTAACTTGCATTTATTTTAAAAATGTGATAATGAAAGATATTATATATATACTATATAAGAATTATATATCTGTTTATGCAAATAAAATCACTTAATAAAACTGATTAATATTTAGTTTTAAATATTATTTTAACCATTAAATGTGCAATATAATAATGACTAATAAATATAATCTCAATTAAATAATAATACCATATATATATAATTATTTAAATATTATTTCTTTTTGCAATCCCTCTGTGGTGGCCATTGCATTTGAGGCTTTATTTTCTATAGAAAGAAGATTTGAATAGTGCTGCCAGTATATTAAAATCTTTGAAGGAAGGTAAACATATATTAACTTTAACCGAAAGCGTTTAAATTCTTCAAATTTATATTTATTTATGTTCAAATATTGATATATGCAAGTTGAGTATTTTAATTAAGTGTAATAACATTATATTGAAATAACTGATAATAAAAATTAAATTATATTTGTTTGTGTCTGAAACACCCTGTATTGTGTTTTACATATTTTTTAATAAGTTTTCGCGTACAAAGATATTACTGAAGGACAAATTAAATAAATAATTTTTCTATATATAATTGTATATGATATAAAAAAAGTTATTTTACTGTGTTAAGTTTTAAAAGAAACATCAAAATTTATTCTAAACAAGATCTCATAAAATTTTGTAAGATGACCTTGGTAGGACTAGCGGCTCGAAAACATTTAATAAAAAAGCGGTAGGTGAATGTGTTTCTGTTAATAAATTTTAATACTCAACGATTACATATTTATTATAGTAATGCAAAACTAGCGGCTGCCTTTCCTAATGGATATCGATGTCAGAAGTGTTTGGAAGTAGGACATTGGTCATATGAGTGCACACAGAAAAGAAAATTTGTGCATCGTTCATCTCGTACAAAAATATTAAATAAGAGGCTTGCCGAGAAGAACGCTAATGATACTAATGCAACTGACATGACAGAAAATGAAAACGGCTTAGGGAAACATTCAATGCCATTTTCATTAAAAGAACCTAAATCTAAACACGCTAAACGCAACAATGTCTCATCAAGTTCCTCAGATGATATGTCAAGTAACGACAGTAGCTCTTCTAGCGATGATTCGGACTCTGATAGTGATGATTCTAGTGGCTCGGATTCTGATACGGATAGCAGTACCTCCGATTTATCATCAACCTCGTCAAGTAGCTCTGAATCAGATACTACTGACGATGATAAAATTTCGAAAAAGAACTCTTCAAGCTCATCATCTTCTCTTGATGAAGATGATATATAATTTCCATACTCATTAGATTAGTTTCAATTACATACATAGTTTATATATGTACATTATATGCATAATAAAATAATATATTCATAAAACTTTATTTTTCTATTTTTTATTACATATAAAACTTGCTACCTGTAAAAATGTTGCCGCTATGTGCTTGGAAACAAATGAGCTATGTAAATCCAGCTTGGTATGTGTTAATTAATTGCTGACAAGCTGCGGGCATATAATATTTAAACGCTATTAACAATTTATATAAAACAGAGTGTACTCAAAATACAGTAGCAAAGGTGTTGACTATTTGCACAAATAATTTTGTAGGATCTATTTCTTGCTACTGCTTTTAATAAATTATGCTTTTACAATTATGAAAGCGTATATTATATAAAATTAACACTTTTTAATCATAAAAAGATTTTATAAACATAATTTATATATTAAGAAATCAACAGCATCAGATCTTCTGCAATACTTTGAACCAGAAACAACTTCCTACCCGACAAACAAATATTTTATGTGCTTAATAAAAACTAAAACGCAATGTCCAAACCTATTTTTAATAGCTATATAAATTAATTTTTTATTTAGAATTTAAAATTCATTGATTAACATTCATTGATAAATTAACAGTCTTTTTATTTACATCAACTTCGACGATGCACATTTTGAAGTCCAAAATTATTTTTCATCAACTTCATCCATGCAAAATGTCAAAAATTTATCTAAATCCAATTTGTCTTCATTACTGCACTGAAAAGTGGATTCATTTCCGTCTTGAAAAAATTCTTTCGATACGTCGTCAGTTTTATGCATTACTTTATCTTTTGTCTTTACGCTTGAGGTATTATCTTCAGGCTCTAACTGTGCTTGAATATTAAGCAGTTGCAGCCGTTCAATCTAGTAAAAAAAAAATATTTTATTTGAATTTGTATTATTATTAACGCCGCTTATACCTTTAATTCATTTAATGAAACGTTCATCCGCTCAATAGTTCGTGTCATCGTCTTTTCCAACTTTGTAAGCACCGCTTGATCTTTTAGAATTTCGGAATTCTTTTGAGCAATATTTAATTTTGTGCTGGTCATATCGACTTGTTTACTACTTTCTCTGCTATCAACAAATAATCTGAGTGTCCTGAGAACCACAAAAATAAAGTTGTCATTTTAAAGGAAAGGTAAAAACAGAACAAGCACAGGCCGAAGCGAGAATATTGAAATTAACGTAATAAAATTACTTATAGATGTTGCATATACATAATGATTAAATTTTGGCCGCGTGCGAGTTCGAGTAAATTAGATAAATATTAGGTAAATTTGGTGTTACAATTGTGAAAATTGTATAAGACGTTTAGTAAATAAATAAATAAATTTGAAAACTATTAACCAAAAATAATAAACAAGTGAAATATATATATATTTACATACGTGCAGTGCAAAAAATCCGTAGGAAATTTTAATTTACTTTACCTCAATTTTCTCGAACTCGCACACGGCGATAATTTTAATATGTTTAATATATACAAATAAATTATAATACACATAAAATAATTTTTTTAAGAGCCATATTAAATAAATAAAGTAATCGATAAAAAAATTGTGCAGCTTTAAAGCAAAATACAAGCTATGACTAAAAAGGGTATGTTCACGATTTTACATATAAGAAGAGCAAAAGAACAAATCGTAACTATATACACGAAAAAGCCGTCAACTTTTCATTTTTCCTTTCAATTCTAATAGTACATTCAGACTGTCTCATTTAGGCACTTGCTCATTTATATTAATAAGTGAACGTTCACATCATATACACATATGAGATTATGTAGTCTTAATTGTGAACAGTCTTTACACATAAAACTATGGCTGATATTAATTTCAAAATGATTCGATTATAAAAAGTATTTTTGAATATAGCATATATCGTTCTATAGATAAAAATACTTTCTGTTATTATTTGTAGTTTATTGGTTTTCCAACTTCTCGGTAAACTTGTATCCTCCTTTAACCTGTCAAAAACAAAATACATAACAAAAAAAAAACCGCAAAAATATTGCCGCAAGAACAACAACTAATGGGAGCAAGGACAAAACAAACTGAGAAAAATCAATAAAAACTCTCATTTTTAATATTACTTGCAAATGTTTGTGCGTATGTCCTGTTAATTGCATTTATAAACGGAAAGGCGTATTTACTTTGTTGCAGTCCAGTGAAAGGACTTCAAATCATTTTTTAAATTAAAATACGTAAAAGCAAACGGGAAGGATGTACAGCACAGAAAATATACGAAGTTGTTAAATTTTTTATTAAATATAAAACAAGTTTTACAAAAACTTATCAAAGATTTGTCAGTTCATGAAATATTTATTCTAAACAAAATGGTCAGTAAACTTGCAATAAATAACGAAGTAAACGTTGTCAAGGACCGCCCAGTTTTCATACCACCAAGAAAGCGTCAATCTTCAAAGAAGACAAATGGAGCACAGAACTATGTTGACCATATTGTTAATGTACAGGTAATTATAATTATATTAATTTATTATATAATAATCACCACTCGATGTGTGTATATTTATAATTTTCAATTTTATATATATTTTTTTTTTACAATAAAAGCGAAAATCTTATAAAATTAGCCACTCTCGACTAAGAGTCTTTGCTAACTAGCAAAGTTCCTTCAAAGTCGTAAGTTGTCGATTGGTAACTATATAATAATAAGTTCATCTTGGTGATGCACAGTTTTATTCCAAATACGATTATCAATGGGAGATTGTAGGCAACTTTCTTCAAAAATATTTATTCTATTAATTTATCCACTTTATTGTTTTACAACAAAACAATGAAACCAACGCCATTATTAATGTAATCTACTTAATGCAGGTTTCAAAAGACAGAGTGTCAATTTAAAATTGAATATTTATCAGTGAATCAGTGAAGACCACTGATGATGATTAAAAATTAAATAAAAATAATATAATAAAACAAATTTGTTGTTGTAGTTCACTACTTTTCGAAACCTCTCTACCAAATATATTTTTATAAAATATATTCTCTATTGTATTGTTAATAACAGAAAATTTTTTCATCACTATAAGTACGTTTTAAAGGCACTAGCAGCATTGGCACACACATTAATAAAGCAATTCTTACATTCAAAATCGTCTGATAGTCCCAAGAAATCGCTATAAAAACTAGACTACATACCTACAACATCGTAGTCTAATCTGCACTCTAGTACGTCGGCCAACCTAGTACGTATGCGTATACAAGCTTGTAATAAAGATCAAATCGTGATACTGTTTTGATATGATATTAACCATGTATATATACTTAACCAATACAATGTAATCAAGAAAATGTTTTATATTCATTTCATATACTACAGACCTAACAAATTTATTTAATATTTTCTTTAATTTTATTTATTTATTGAATCTTTTTAATATTTTTTGCATCCATATTACTCACTAACTATTTCAACGCGTATATTTCACCATTCTAAGTAGCTAAGTTTTTTTGGTGGATTTTTCCTTGATTTATATGGTGAGATATACCTCACCATTCTATGTAGCTGATTTTTTATTTATTGGTTTTCCCTTAATTTATATTATAGTAAAATTAATTTTTTATTTCTATTTATTCAGCATCGCCAAAAACTCTCACCATCTAATCCAGGACTTGAGGAAGATCTATTAAAAACATCTTTAATTTTAAAAAATAAACAGCCACTGCCACAAATACCTGGAATTGCTACTGTTGACACAAATATCGAGGAAAAATCAGTTCACTCTCTACATCAAAGTACAAAATCGTCACAATCAGTTGATAATATATACGAAGATGATAATGAGTTGCGAAATTTTGATAATAGTCTAAAACCGCATAATCACCATTTTGAGAGTTCAACTGTTACACCGACGAGTTTTTCGGAAAGTAGTCTTGATGTAAAACTAAGTAAGTCCCACGATTGTTTAAGTAATCGTTCCGCATCTAAAAAACGTGTAAATATACACACCGATTTACCTACATATCAACTACGTAATAGCCCAAGACTTTCACCTGAAATAGCCAATTATGAAGATGTTGAGTCTGGTGAAACAAGTGTACTCAATATTGACATGCAGAGTCTGGAACGGTTTAATACAAGACGTTCAATGGATAGTAACTATTTAACAATGACTGGTAATTAAATATGCAATTTGAAATAAGTTAATTAAATAAACTAAATAAATGATCATGCACTTTTGCAGGCACTATTAAACGTGGACGCAAGAAGGGACAAAATTTGGATCTACAAATTAATATAAGCCGAGAAGAATTAGAACAAATCAATGCTACTGCCATTGCGACTGAAGTAAAGAAGAAACAAAATCTATGCTTCACTTGTTCCTTAAATACTGGTTTGCATATCCTACTTTTATCACTTGTGAGTCTTCCATTTGTAACAATAATTTCAAGCATATACTCATTTTACATTGGCACATTAACCTGGTATAATATGTTCAGTCTCTTCAATGAGGAGAAGTCATATTTGCATAGAGTTTTTATGAGTCCGATATTAATAATAGCATATCCAGTTGGTATTATTCTTTGCACAGTCGGTTTAGGAATTTATGCTGGCATTGTGCAGATTAGTTTACAATTTAATAGTTGGTTAAACGAGGTAGCAGATATTGAAAAAGGTTTTTATGGTTGGTTGTGTTCCTTTTTGCACATGTCAGATTGTAGTCCATATGAGGTTATTATTTTGACGGATATACGTTTGCCTAATGACGAAGAAACGCAAAGACACCACGTGAATACTTCAACAGAGGAATTATCATTGTAAATGATAGCATTACTGCTATATCAGATTGAATGGGATAGTGTCCGAAGCCGTCGTCGTAGCAAGTGATATACGAATAGAACTGTGGTTTAATGTAACAAAAATAATAATGAATATATACAAACCAAATACAAATCTTAGTCAATACAAATTTATTTAATAATGGTTTTGTATTTTCAACAAAAATGGGTGATAACAGCCAGTTAATGTGAACTAAGTTTCCTTTACGTAAATTTTTAATTCCTCTTTGAAACAAAATTTAAGTAGTTTTCTAGTCGCATAGCTTGTAAGATTTCGTAAACGATTTAAACGATTTACAGTTATATGATTTTATTAAAAATAATTAGCATAAAAAGTTTCTAATTACACATAAACCAAAGATTATACATATACAACTCTATATATACAAAATAACAAAAATTAAATATTTTTCCATGCATAATAAAATTATGAAAGTTTTAATATATCGCTAATATATGCAAAAGATTTATATTATATATTTTAAGTCTTAAAATTAAAAATGGAATATCAGTTGTAAAAGTTTATATATCCTATTAGACCGATTTATTATTGTATAATATATAATGTGTATTATTTTTTACATATTAAGAGAACAAAAATGTTGCATTTATTTAAAAAGTAATAAATATTAAAATGCATTTATTTTAATAAAAATAAAAAAATAAACGTTTCCATTATATATAAGCAAATAAATTTTTTTATTACTAAATGTTTGTATTTACTTATAAACACTTGAATGCCAAATTGATTTTTAAATGCTTTTGCAGGAAATTTTTTATGTAAAAATATATGTCGAATTATATTATGTACCGAAATTAATTAATAACAACATATTATTGTAAATATATTGTGTATGTTAAAAACTCTTAATAATATCAATAATCTTAATATGAAAATTATAAAAAAAAGTTATCTGCTAGTAAATATGCCAAATAAAATTTAGTCACAAATGTATATAAATATTTTTTCAATGAAATTAATATTTTTATATGATCTATATACAGTCAAACTTCCATAACTCGAATTTTCTATAAGTTGAACGAAATAGAGTGGGT